GGGGAAATGTATGGACATTGGTAACAAATGTTATAACAAAATCAATTAAACTGTACGACACAGCTTTGAACAATACACGAGATAGCTATTGTTGAAATATGAATGCTTAATAAACATAAGCATGCATCTTTGTCTACACTAATGCATGTTCTATACTATGTGTTGAATATATGTACATAGGTACGTTTTTACATATCGAATGCAGGTAGAATGCTTGTTATACACATATGTATACCCTGTCGGGAAAATCTCTAGTTCTGAACTGATGCGCTTCCAGAACATTTAGAACCCTTTAGACTGGTTCGCGATAAATCTCTTTTGCATGCAAACAACTGGCGAATTTAACATAGCGATGTCCTAGGTGGTGTCAATTGCCCCACGCTGCATCCCTCTTTCGAGAGTTCCAAACTAGTCCAAAATTCTATAGTTCCGAACCAGTTTTAAAATCGCCAGACGAAAGAAAAAAGTATCATGATTTTCAATTTTTTGGTTCCTCCGTGTGTGCGATGTTAAGTTATTTTTAAGGAAATGTCTGTTTACATACCTTTGGCTGTAGCTGAGTTTGTAGAGGTGCTCGCTGTTATTGGTTAGATTCCAGACGGTCCCAAGATCTATGCAAAATAAACTAGACCCCCGCTGCATTGCTTTTTCGATAGTTCGGAACCAGTTCTAAATTCGTCACTTTAGATATAGATTTTTATTGAAAAAAGTGAAAAAAATCAATTTTTTGATAGACTCACTTTTCGCCGATTTTGGACTGATGGGGATCTAGTCACTATCGGACTGGTTCGTTTTTGGCCACAAAAAGATTAGTACGGAACTAGAAATTTGATTCACTAGTCCGCGGTTTCCCTGCAGGGTACATATGTATGTATGTACGTTTGCTATTGGTAACTACTATGTTGTCATGTGGTAATGAGTGTCGATGTCAGTGTGGTAAGACAAGCAATATTGAGTTGTGGCAGCTCGCAACTGACAGCTACATACCCTCATCTAGCTAGTAGCTAGTATGGCCCCAAGCCAGGCAACATAGACATGGAAGATCAAGTTAAGGAATGCATTTACAAAATTTTGAAGTTAGGTAATAGTTATTGCGTTCAAATCTTTTCGAAATTTTAATAAATCGTTGCCGAAGAAGCCCTCAAAATTATCGTTTAAAGACCTCTGAACTCAGATGAAGTACGGCCAAGTGGTTATTCAAACCCGCTATGTAGAGCGCATAGGGTATACTCATGAGGTATACTCATTGTTAAGGCATACTTAGGTTAGTAATAGCTTTAAAATTAGCAACGGTAATGATTTTTATTCCAAGCATGTAGAGCAATTTTTTAGACCTAAACCGCACTTTAAGGTTTATATATGTCATCTGAAAGGCAGCTTAATTTCCCTGAAAACCCGCCTAAGCTAAACGGAGGAAATTCACTGAGTTTTCTTAGCTTAAACCCAAAACTGCCGCTATTCAATTTCTTAGTATTAGTCAAATTTATTTCAATTTTATAGCATGCACTAGAAACCAAAAACAAAAGTGTACCTGACTTTCTGTAACAATGCAACACTTAACTGCAATGCAATTACAATACAAGCAAATATGACAGCAAACATAATGACAAGGTGTATGATGAACAGGCGATTAAATAGTGTCTGCCAAAAGCAGAACACTTGTTTACAGGCGTATGACTGATTCGGAAATTATGTATGTGACTGAATAGGCAGAAATTTGTTAGCAGCTGCATGCTGGCAGTGCATATATACTTATGTATATGTATGTATAAATGTAAATATGTATGTAAATACATGCGGTACATTTCACGCCAAACCGGACACCATTTGGTCTTTGCATTTCCGATTTTTTAATAATTCTTTATGTTGATTAAGTAGCTATTGAAAGAGATCTTTTTTTTTAATTTTTTCGCCGTTTTCGAGTTATCGATTTTTGAAAAAAAAAACATTTTATAGATGGCAAAAACTATTACTGGTGTATCTAAAGAAAAATTATTATTCACTTTTAGTACTGATAGCTGAAACATGGAATTTTAAACATCCAAAAAAAAATTCTTAGATCCCATTATCGGACTAGACTCCAAAGGCGCGGAATGTGTGAAAGTTTTATAGAAAAAAATTTCAATAAAATCGATCAGTACGGGGGCTCCTAAATATGTCAACATCAAAGCTTTGTATGGTTCACCCCTTATTTGCTCTACGTACAAACTAAAGACATCCACAAAACGTTTAAAATTTTTTAATAAATTAAAATTTAACAGAAAGTCTATATTAACTCTCTTATTTTTCATAAGTTTCTTCGTAGTTTCGAACATAATTATTTGTAAACCAGTGTTATTTGAAATTTTGCACTTATTCCGAAAGAACTCAAACAAATGAGTATATGGAGATTAATATTGCATGATAAAAGCATTTGCGATGACTACGAGTTAATATGAATAATTTTCAATACTATGTATGTATGTATGTCAAATTTTTCTGAATTAAATTTTTTGAAACCCGCTAAAAAATTATTTTAAAATTGTGAAATTTTCATGGATGTCTTTAAGAAAAGTGTGTCCCGAACAAAAGCCTCTCTGAACAAGGCCTCTCTGAATTGGTAATGTCATACAAAAAAAAAAACACTATTAAAAAAATAGGAGACGCAAATGGTGTCCGATTTGGCGTGGAATGCCCTATATGTGTATTACATATATATACATACAAAAATATGTATATGGACTTTAGTAGAAAATTATTACGTTACGGTTGTTTCGTAGACAGTTACAGATTTATGCAATTTCAAGTGAATACGCATCTACAGCAAATTATTTGGTCTTAACATGGCAGGTGTATGTAAACTTGTACGTGCTCGCTTTTGTGCCTTTATTCATATTGAATACATTTACATAATATTCTGATAACTCTTCTATCTTTGATCAATGTCAATTAATCCGAAGCTGCTACTTTAGTTAATAGTTATAACTAAAATGCACTTTATGCCTACTTGCAGCAGAAGCTGTGAGGAATAGAACAATACAAATCAATACGCTTGAGGCTACTCCATATATCTGTGTTCGTATGGAAAAGTAGCTTATGTCGAAAGGCTGGCTTTAGTATAAATCGGCATTCGCAGTATACGATTGCGAATGACTCACTGGCGCTGAGCTGTTGTAGAACTTTTGGCAAATAAACGTGCAAGAACTAGTTCCGATACTAGCAAGTCAATATTCTTATTAAGTCTCATCAAAAAATTCCTTGCCGTTTAAAGAGTAAAGGGAATGCCGCATTATACTAAAGCCAGCCTTTCGACATAAGCTACTTTTCCATATGAACACAGATATGTATACCATTTTTGCAATGTCCAAACGGGTACAGTTACCTAGAAAACTTATGGCTGGAAGCACATTTTGTACTACGAGCAAATACAAATGCCGAAAGCTATAAGCGAAGTTTAATTGCAAAATGCTAATTTGACACCTTTGGCTAGTCGCTGGCCGAAAATTGAAATGAGATTGAGAATTCTCGTTTGTGTGTGTGTGTGTGTGTGTGTACTAGGCTGATTAGTTAACAACTTAATTGAGAATTAAGAAAACAAATCATAAAAATTTATTATGAAATCTCATGGGCAAAAATAAATCCTTGTCAATAAAAAAATAAGAATTCCATTTGTGCTGACAAAAAATTAATTAAAATAGTTTAAAGAACAGATTTTTTAAGCAAGAAGTTTTTTTATAGTAATTATATTTTATAGGTCCTCCAAAAACCGCCAAAACCCCAAGAAATAAAAAATGTTTAGTATGAAAAAATGGTTAAAGAAACAATTGGGTATTATTATGCCAAGAACCTTATACTGCCTCACCGATAACTTAGGCTGAAAACAAAGTGTTAAATCAAGAACGGTACTCACCAAGGGCCTTATAAATGTAGGTGGGAAAGTTGTCGCTATAAGATAGCTAGCAGAAAAAAGACTCACCTTTGATTGCATCCCCAAAGACAGTGGTGTGCATTTGCATCCATGCCTTTGATGACGAGTCTTTGCGCTTTTTTCGCTGCACTAGCTTATCTTGTTTAGCTGGCCAGCAACACTGTACTCCACGTAGCAGGATGCCAGAAGAATAGCCACTTATCTATCTCGTTTTATGACGAACCTCCGTCAGATACTCAATGCTATAAATAGAAAGGGCGGTGGCATCGAAGCTCAAAAATGTCCGTCGAAACGAGCGGCTATTCTTCAATAATTATGCGGTGTCCACTCTAAACTATTTATTTACTGTTTGACCACATAGTTGATCTTATTCGTTACACTTATTTAGGTTTGCCAAGCTTTTATGACTTATTTAGGTTATTCTCAGCTACCCTTGCTTCGAGCATTCTTTAGTCGAAGATAGACGCTGCCGTACCCATCGACATTTTACCAAGCTCCGGCTACAGCAGGCCTAACGCTTCCTGGAGGATTTTTGTAGTTGTGTCCCTCATCTTTTGGCTTTTACAGCAATCGCAAAGCGTTCTCTGCCCACGGCACACACTGGTTTCATGCCTAAGCCTTCGTTGTCTCATGGATTAGAGCACTACCACCCCTTTATCTGGAGCTTTGTTATCACTGCCTTCAGTGTTCAATCATCATTGTGACTCTCGGTTGCCATATGTTCATATTTCGCAAAGTTTCATACTGGGAGGCTGAATGCATCATCCCTAGTCTCCTGCTCCATGCTAACACACAGCTTTGGATGCTCAAGGTGCTGTACTACCGCTCCTGAGTTACTTATTCACTCTAAGCCAACGTTTGCTGTACCAAGACCTGCCACCGCGTTAAAGTGCTTGCCTTCGACATGAAAGAATGTAAAACTCGAGAAAATCGGATTTAAAGTTTACAGAGCTCCCGTAGTGAAAATGAAGAAACATTTTCTTCTAATGAGCTTTTGTTAATCGATACAGTCATGAAATTTTCACACAAAATAAATAGAAGAAAAGGTGGCGGTCATTTCTGCATTAGTTAATGTACTTATTTTATCTTGCAGGCTATCGACGAAGGTTTCATAGAAGACATTAATGGCATACTTAACACTGGCGATTTGCCCAATCTCTATCAACTGGAAGATAAAGCGGCAATTATGGAGAATATGATGAGCTTAGCAAAGCAATTGGTGAGTAGTGAGTTTACATACACATACGTATGTATATTATATTATTCAACTGGAATATATATACTTACATACATACATACATACATAGTATGTAAAATTATTAGTGCGAGGGTAATGATTGGGAAGTTGTGGCAGGATAATTCTACTAACTAAATTACAATTAATTTCACATTAAAAAAGCGGGTTTTGCATGAATTTTTCTCGATTTTTTAAACTTGAAATTCGTTGCCATTTGTTTCAAAATACAAAATAGTGCTTCAGACAATCGCGCTCTTCTCGATGATGGAGAGGAATAAAACAACAATCCCCCTTTCAAAAACTGTCAAATTTTTTATTCAACAAGTTTGGGCTATAAGAACTAAAGTTTTCCGACGAACAAAACCACCACTTTCGAGTCGTCCCTCCAAGTACAAAAAAAATTTCCTTGTTAGCTTTCGTGATGAAAAGCTCTTTTGACAGAAAGCACTTGTATTTCATTTTGGTCGCTCTGCTCGAACAGTCGCAATGACGGAGTGAGCAAAGCAATCGCGTGCCATTCGAGAGATCCGAGATCGATTTTAATTAAATTTTAATTTTAATTTTTTTTTTTAATTTAATATTCTTTTATTTTAAGATTTAAACGTTTTAAAAAGAAAAATCTAAAATAAATATACATAATTTTTATTTTTTTTTATTTTTAGAAACCTGTATAATTTTATTACATTAATTTTATTTTCTTTTCTTTTATTTTTTGTTTTAAAAAGAATTTATTTTTATTAAGGTTAACTTTTAAAAACTTTTATTTTTCTTCTTTTTTAATTAAGTTTTTTTTTTTTTTATTTTCCTAAAATTTTTAGAAGGAAACACTTTTCTTTTTCCATTTCATTTATTTTTAAGTAACTTATTTTATTTAAAAATTTTTTTTTATTTAATCATTTTTTTATTTTAAGATTTTGTTTTTTTAAAAACAAATAATGATTAGTGTTTTGTTTTTGGCCTTCTTATTTATTTCGTTGATTTTTGAGCTTCAGGCCGGTTATTAAATAATAATAATTATTATTATTATTAAATAAATTGGTATAGCTTTATTTATTACATTAATTGTTGCCGATATTTCGTCTTCAAATGCACTGCTAAAAGACAAATAGAAAAAGGGTAAGATCTCCTCGTTAATAGCTCTTTCAATTAGTATTTCGAAAGACAGAAAGATAGTTGCTAGAATAGAAAATTTCTTACGAAAGACTTTCTTCCTTCGAAAGCCTGTGGTGAATTTAAGGACAGTTGCCAGAATTGTCCTGTAAAACTTTGTTCCAAGAAAGTTCTTGAAGCATCAAAAGAATTAAAATCAGTTATGCTTACATATGAGCAAATCTCACAAGTTGTTACATTTTTCGACAAAAACGTGGTTTTTCTCGAAAATGGTGGCACACTTACCTTATACAATGCATTATATTTAGTTTTGCATAAAGAACAAGATTTCATTGCAAACTTGTATTTAAACGAAAACTTAAAAAAAAATATACTAAAATAAAGTCGGAATAACAAGTTGTGTATGTAACATATATAGGTCCCGTAGTACAATACACAGCCAGATAACACTTTTACTCGCACGTCTTAATTTAATAGTCATATCAATTAAAAGTAATTAAATATTCCCATAGAGTATTTTCTATTACACCAGTCAACACGATTTAAATTTTAGTTGGATTATATTTTTGATCAAAGTTTGCTTTTGTAAAAACTAGAGCTATTTTTAAATTTTTCTGGTTAAATCACTAATTTTTATATTTTTTTTATAATATTACTTTAAATTGTGATTAGAAAAGTTTTTGCTGGATATCTTCTTTTTATTTAAGATTTGTGATAAACAATAACATATAAATGTAAAATAACAGGAAATTAATGTCTAAAAGTGAATATTTTTCGTATTTCTTATACTTATCGACGTTAATCAGACAAAAGCAAACTTTAAGAACTAAAAATTAAAATTCAAGTGTTTTTTTTTAATGTTTGAAATGAGAGTCTTAGCATGAGAACAGAAACCCAAAGAAAAGAAATTTTTGTTGTTACCGGTGTTATTATATATTGATACGTTTTGGCAAAAGAAACATTTTCACCATTTAATGGTAACATTTTGAAGTACATATCTTAAATTTTATTAAATTAAAAAATCTTTAAATTTCAAAAATTACAAAATAGCTGTGACAGATATTCTGCATGCTGCCATTTTTTTTAATTAAGTGGCACACTTTTAAAATTTCACAGATATGTTGTATTTGGTGCCAACTTACATTGACTCTAATATGAACATTATATCTTGAGACTTCCCAAAGTTATTAAAATTATTATCGTTTATAGAAAGCATTCTCTTTTACTGCTTGATAAAAAAAAAGATGCATTTCAAGACACTCAAATTTTAATAACTATTTTATGATTTACAAACATTTTGCTTGATTTTTATTTTTGCCTATAAAAATTTGTGTTGTTGCTGTCGACGATGCTACTTGATATGTATGTATTCATAGTATGCAAAGACATCATTATTTTAGTGCTATTGCAATAATAAGCGACAGCTCGACTTGATTTCGCAATAAATGCAATAGCTGCAAAAACAATTGTCGTTAATACAGCAATTACAATAGCAAAGCTTAACAACTACAACAACAACCCGATACTACCAATAACTACTTATACAAACTGTATGTATATATGTATTTATGTATGTATGTATGTATGTACTTAGTACAATAACAAGTTGTTATTTCATGCACTATGTTTGCTTTATTTCCGGCAACACATTCATTTCCGTCTTCCTGCCCTGATGCCACTCCCATGTCGGTCGTTTGCGGACCATCGAATGACAAATGTCGGTTACTTGCTTGGCCGCTCCGATGCGACTTCCTTTAACCTGCTTTATAATTCTGTTGGCTTCATCCTCAATTTCTGTCTTCGATACATTTTCATACTGCTTCCACTGCTTGTTGCTGCTGTGGCTGCCATTGCCATTTCCATTGCTATTGTCACTTCACACCACTGTGGGAATTACATTTGCACATCTTCCGTCGCCTGACTGCACTACCACTGCATTTCTGCCTGCCTGCCTGCCTGCCACTCAACTTGCCCCGCTGGAATGATGCGCCGCTGCACTGCTACTTTGCTGCCGTGCTGCTTTGCTGTATATCCTCCTTCCTCAACGAACTACTCACACAATCGATTCATATTTCAACTGCATTATTGAATGATGCATCTTCCTACTTACTACGTACTGCCGCAAAATGTTCGCTCTCTCTCTCTTTCTCCATCTGGCCATCTGTGTATGCAACTGTCACTGACGTCGATGCTGATGATAATTTCCTGCAAATAAAATACACACAACGAAATCAACAATATTTACCATCGCACATACCATATCTACTATTATCTACATATATATTCTACAATACAACTGCAATTGCAACAACAACAATTGATTCGCCCTCTGCGCTTTGGGCAATTTTTGACTCAAATGCGGGCTAACTGACGCACAGGCGAGACAAATTGATAATTCCCCCTCAGAGATGTATGCATACTTTATCGAAAGGATACGTGAACAGCTGCATATAGCATTGGCATTTTCACCGATTGGCGATTCCTTTAAGGAGCGTTTAAGAATGTATCCATCATTGATAAACTGTTGCACGATTGACTGGTAAGTGTGAACGATTACAACAGTAATACATAGTATGTACATCTATTCGATGTAAGTGCATAGATGCATATAAAAATCTACGTATGTATGTAGGTATGTAAGTAGTTTTATGTAAAATGTACAATCGAGCACCCTTCTATTAAAACCAAAAATATATAAATGTCGCCAAAAATGTCAGCAAAATCGGGGTTCGTAGGTATTATATGTAGCAAGCGTTTAGTGGATAGGAAATTTCTTCAACATGTTCATATACGTACATACATATACATATCTGTATTAAACTTGTTGAACCAGAATAAATGCTGTATCCTGCAGGATAAGGAAATGTTTTTGGCGTAAACTTCTTTTTACAAAAATATGTTGTACAACAAAATGCTAGCATTTACAGACTTACAAGTGGATGGATATGCAGTCAGTGTGGGTGTTGGTAGGAGTACACATATGCACTTTTATCAGTGTATTGTACGTAAGGTTTGCAGAATTTCAAAAATCTGTCACTCAGTTGAAGAGGTATCACACACGAATTATGAGGTACGCTATCGATCTTCCCTCGTGTATAGAATATAAAATCAAATATAAGCCCAAACGTTTAAAGAAGCATGAATTGGAGCTACACTGTTCTAAAGCGGTAGGGGTTCAAGGTATTATTAAGAAAGAAAATCATGGCGATTTTATGGATTGTGAAAGACCCTTTTTCTTGAAAAACTTTAGAGAAGAGAGGAAAATGCTCTTTATGTATGTATATGTTAAGTTGTTAACATAACCATGCAATGCGGAAATTTTTGGAGTTTTCAAAGACTAAAATCCATTAGAAGTCTAGTACCAGGATTAAAAATATATATGAAACTGATTTAAAAAAAAAATTGCAAACGTGTACACGATCACAGTTTCTCGCACAGATATCGCATACTGAAACCTCGATAGTGGTTTTCATATTCCATACAAAAAATGCGAATCATTTTAAAACTGCGATTTTTGCGTTGTTTTTATCAATAATGCTTTTCTAAGGAGCCAATGTTTGTACATAAAAAATAACAAAAGAAATTAAATGGAATGCATATTTTCAAAAAGGTAGCTGACTAAGTAGTGGAGTAAAAAAGTCTATGCTTCCATTATAGGTCGTTAAAGGATTAAACAAAATTGTTAGTCGTGAACAGTTGCCTTTACTCTTTTCTTAAAGTTTTTGGTTCAAACAGTATGGTTTTCAAGCTCTCTTTAATTTTGCGCAGAAAAAATGATCATTTCGTCTACTGTGCAGTGATTAAAAAAATAAGTAAAGAAAATAAGCATAAATATGATTACCAATATGGTACCATAGATGCATTTTTTACCTAACTGTCACTCCGATTTAAATCCCACTGAATGACAGCGCTTACAACCTACGCTCTTGTCAAAATCATCCTTCTTGCTATATGGGTTAACTCACCAAATTAAGAGACTAAAGCTTTAAATGTAAAATGTCTCTCTGACAGTTTCATTTTGGCAAACAACAACAATTTCGCGCCATTGCAAATATTTAATTGAACGCTCCAATTTATTTTGAAATGAACGATTTCACACTTTCATTTATTTATCTAATGATAATTATTTATACAATTCTACTGTCCCTCATTTAGACATGTCAATGTACAGCACTAAAAGGTCACTAAAATTAACATTTTACATTACTACTACATACATACATATGTACGTATGTACGTATGCATATAGACGCTTCAATAGTTTAGTCATTAGCTGGCAGAGCGTTTGAGTATTTATTATGTGTAGGTACAAACATATATATGTGTAAGTACTATAAACTAAATATTTTAGACGACATGGGACACATGAGTGTAAAAATACCATTTGAGTATGTACATTAGATCGTACCACCTTTTAAACAAACAAAAAAAGTTCGCTAACACCTCTGGGTCTAAACTATTTTTCCAAATCGATTTTTTTTATATTTTTCGGTGACATCTACATTCGGAAAATTTATCTTAAAGAGTTCTACTGAAATAATCGAAACACCTTCTAGGAAAAAATATAATGATTGCTGGAGAGTTTTAAATTACTGACCTTAGGGTAGTACTTTAGGTTGAAAAGCACTGAGATCTGATGAATAAGTAGAAACCAGAACAGAGTATTTGGGATGAATGAACTTTGGAACAAAAAATTGTATCCTCGAGGCCCGAACACCGATATATTATACTTTAAGATCCGACTGGAAATGCCGATGATATTGTGAAAAAATTTTAAAAGGCGACACCTATGTACGTCCGGCCAAAAAATAAAATAAAATTTTTTATAGAATTTGCACTGCAAAAATATTTTAGACTCCAAAGCGTATGGCTAACTTTTTTCTGGTGGGGTCTAATGTACAAACATACATACATATATATGTAGGCATGTATGTAGTATCAGTATATTGGAAATCTTTGCCAGCTGTACATACTAGTATATAGTGAACAGTTATAGTTATATAAGTATACTTCTATTGATATCTTGCATCTACATATACATTTGTATGTAAGTATGTATGCAAGCGCACTCATACATATGTACAAATACGTAAGCGCCCGTCTGTCTGTCTATATCTGCATCGCTTGCCGATTTTCAGGTTCATGCCTTGGCCGGTTGATGCCTTGGAGCGTGTTGCTGAATATTTTATCAGTTCAATGAAATTGGGTCAGGCACAGGAGCATGCCGAGTCTGGCGCAGCCGCCGCTGAACGAGCATCTGTAGATACCGCAGAGTCAGATACTACCAAGAAAAGCGATGAAATGGAGGAAATTGTGCTCAGTGAATTGGAATTGGAGCTGGTACAAATTGTCATGCATTTCAATAAATCCGTCTTTGATGCGAGCGAACGGTAAGTAAGTGTGCATTAATCAGTTCTACAAACAGAATAAAATGATAAGTGGGCAGACAAGTACGAACCGAAATAACGAATAAGATATACACATTAAATTTCAATTCACATTATCTCACACATAAAACTGTAGTTGCTACTTGGAATTGGGACGACGTAATTATGTGACGCCATCATCGTATTTGGAGATGTTGAAATCTTTTAAAATTTTCTATGTACGGAAATTGGATGAAATTACCAAACTGAGAGATCGGTGAGTGGAGGCGCTTACAATTGCTGCGGTGTTTTACTTTTTATTTTAATTTTTATATGTCTATAATGCAGCTACACCACTGGCTTGGAGAAGCTAGACTTTGCCGCTAGTCAAGTCGGTGAAATGCAGGCGAATCTCTATGATTTGCAACCCAAACTGAAAGTGCTGTCCGAGGAGACTGAGCGTATTATGGTGAATATTGAACGCGAGACGGCGGAGGCTGAGAAAAAGAAGGAGGTTGTTGGCGCCGATGAGGCGGCGGCCAATGAAGCAGCTGCCGCAGCACAAGCGATTAAAGACGATTGCGAAAGTGATTTGGCTGAGGCGATTCCTGCACTAGAGGCAGCATTGGATGCGTTGAACACACTCAAGCCAGCTGATATTTTCATTGTTAAATCGATGAAGAATCCACCATATGCGGTGAAGTTAACGCTTGAGGCAGTTTGTGTATTGAGAGGTTTCAAACCGGATCGTAAGCCAGATGCTAGCGGACGTATGGTGGAGGACTTCTGGGGACCATCGATGCGCATGATAGGCGATATGAAATTTCTTGAGTCGTTGAAAACATTCGACAAAGATAATATACCACCGGCGAATATAAAGAAAATTCGAGAAAAGTGAGTGCGAGTAGTGTTAATTTGTTTTATTTTTGTTTTTGCATTGAACCGATTACAAGTTGCGAATTGACACAAAAAAACGCCGAGGCACGTAAACTTAATTTTGGATCGTAGATTATGGATATGTATACTATTTTTCCAGATCAGGGCATTTTCCCAAGATATTTTATTTTTTATGAAAAAATCAAACTTTAACAAAAAAAAAATAAAATAACACAATTTTTTTTATTTTTTTTATTAATACCTCTCCTTTTGCCAAAAACTCAACCTTTAAAATCGCTGGATAAATGAACAACTTTGAATGATCAAATGAAAATGTTCAATAATTTTTTTTTTTATGAAATAGAAGCAGGAAAGAATGTTACTCATACGCCATAACGTACGTGGCCGTACTCGTACATGGCGTATGAGTAACATTTTCCACGTTAGAGTTTGAATTTTTCCTCATTCGCAGCGTAAACTTAAAATTAAAATATCTTGCAAAAATTACCTGATCTGGAAAAGCGTTAAAGTTTACGTGCCTCGGCGTTTTTTTTTTGTATCGATTTTGCATACCTACATCGCACTGCATCATATCGCCAGATCACATGATAAATATTTTACCTAACATGAAATCGTGTTTCTATACTTTTTAGAGAATTAAATATAGCCATCATAGAGTGAAAAGTTGCTAAATCCACCTTTTGAGAAATTAAATACGCATTGTTTCGAAAAGGTACAAAGCGCTAGGCTAAAAAGTATGGCGCTATGGAAAGATCGGCGGTTCGGCCACGCTTCTATACTTCACACTAAGGGTGTTTATAACCAAGAAATCCGCCCCTAAACCCACCTTCGGCATGCTCTTTAAGACGAAAGTCTCGTGAAGAATCTCACGCGTCCACTTCCAGTCGAAAATTTTTTTCGTTTTTTCAATAAAAAAACTTTTGCCTGAATTTTAGTGGGCGTGCAGGGGCGATCTAGGCCACTTCGGATAATAACTTATAATTTTTTCACTAGCATTTTAGTACAAATATTCGTAGAACTTAATTATATGTGAAAACTTCAAAAAATTTCTCACCTCAACTCATCAAATCAACTCTCCAACCGACAGATACATCCCCGATCGCGATTTCGTGCCAGAGAAAATCAAAAGCGCCTCAACTGCTTGTGAGGGTCTTTGCAAATGGGTGCGTGCCATGGATGTTTACGATCGTGTGGCAAAAATTGTGCAACCCAAGCAGCAGGCACTCGCCGAAGCTGAAGCAGATTTGGCATCGCAAATGGAAAAATTAAACGCAAAGCGTGCTGAATTGCAAGTGATTCTGGATAAGCTGCAAAAATTAAATGATTTCTTCGCAGAAAAATCACGTGAGAAGAAGAGGCTTGAAGATGAAATCGATAATTGCGAAAAGAAGTTGAATCGGTAAGCGTCGAGTTTTCAACTGATATTTAAGATGGATATTAATTTTCCCTTATTTATCTCTCTCTCTCTCTATTTCAGCGCTGAGAAGCTACTCGGTGGCTTGGGTGGTGAGAAGACACGCTGGTCTGATGCAGCCAACAATTTACACAAATCCATTAGCAATATTGTCGGTGATGTTTTGTTAGCTGGTGGCGCTGTGGCTTATTTAGGATTCTTCCCCACCGAGGTAGGTGGATTGTTTTAAATCAGCGAAGCATAAATATTCCACTTTTCTTGGCTTCGCAAATGACTCACAAGATATTTACTGGTTCGGGGATTACAAGTCGTATCGAGATATTGTATTGAACGCTTCTAGACTACCTGCATACAAATAATTGGGTCTTTTAAAACACCTTATCGTAAAGTGAAGTGGAAACCACATCAGTGTAGTGGTACATACATACATACATATGTAACACCGTGCTACAAAAACCAAAAAAAAATTCAAACCTCACGAAACTATGGGTTATATATAATAAAACTGCGTTTTTAATTTCTTAGTTAGTTAGGACTTTTAAATTTAAAAAGTATGATTAATTAAAAAAATTAATTTTAAAAAAATTAAGTGCAATATGGAATAATATGGGTACCACCTAAAAAAAATCTGTAGATTTTAAAAAAAATATAAGTCTTTTAGTTCGCACGGATGAATAGGTATTGAAAATGTCCTTTTAATTCATTTTATTTTTTTAAGCTAATAAAGTTAGTGGTCGTGTGTATATTAGTCCTTAACATAAAAATTTTTCAAACATTCATATTGCAAACTTTCAATGTTATTCGAGGATAAAATTAAAAAACAACTTTTTCAGTACCTTTTCGTTCTTATGCATCAAAAAATTTACTTTTTTAAATTCTATAGGATTTGCTCTTTTAAATATATAATGCTCATATTGTTATTCTACATTGCACTGAGCTTATTTTTATTAATTTTAAAGTCCTTTTAAGAGGAAACGTAGTTCTACTATTTTTTCCCCCAGTTTCGCGAATATAACTATTGATTTTTGTGTGTGTAAAATTTACTGTCGCACGGTGTAATCGGCAAAAAAAAATCACAACTTTTTAAAATATTCACTATCCACCTGCCGCCGTCATTAAAGCCTCTCGTTTAAACTGCTCGCCTAACGCGCTATTAGCATTTTCAATAGCTGCAAAAAAGACAAAATAAAAATTAAACTTTCAACTACAACTATCGCCGAAATTAATCACTCTCGACGCGGCTTTTGCATGCTCCAAAATCGTTTGTAAATTTTTTAGCTTTACGCAGACAGTTATCTAGCAATAAAACGCGCTAGAAAAAATATTTATTTATTTAGGTATTTAAAAATATATCTAAACTACATAGTATAATATTTTGTGTATGTACATTAGGGTGGTACAAAAATACAAGTAGAAAAAAAATTTAAATGTTAAGCTCTAACCGCTAAAAAAAGTTGTATTTAGAGCTGCCTCAAAGCCCGTGAAATTTTCCATGTATTTTATAGGCTGAAAAAAAACTTTTTCGTAGTAATGGTTTTGAATTCTTCAAAAACAATATTAAGTACACAATTGGGTATTATTATTTTGAGTCTCTTGAAGAGAAACAGAGTTTTTCGATCGAAAAATGTTGATATAAAATACATAGAAAACTTCATGGGCTTTGAGGCAGTTCTACATATAATTTATTTATTTTTTTTAAATCCCAGGCGGTGAGAGCTTAATATTTTAAACTTTTCTTGGACCGCCCTATTGTACATACATATGTATGTATTTTTTTTTTTCAATTTGACAAAAATGCCGGATGGGTTAAAAGTTGTTGTTTATATGCGCAGACACGTATAAAATTTATGTCCGAACAATATTCACTAAGCAAAACTAATTGATAAAATATGCATGTGCATAAATGTTGGTAAGTATGTACATATGTATATCTGGAACGGATACTAAAATTAGAAAGGTGCAAAAATTTAAAAATAAATGTCAGCGGTGAACGCCATAACTAAAAATAAATCTAAAAAATGTGCAATAACACTTTATCTCTGTGTATATGTTTGTAGTATAAATATGTATGTGTGTATCTGTTGAGTTTATAAATTCAAACAATTCAATAGGGACAATAATCAACCAGCCAAAAACCTTGTTTTATTAAAAATATATATGTTTTAAGTAAACATATTTATTTAATTTAATAATAAAGTACATATTGTCTAAAATTTGAATGAATGAAAATATTAACTCTGTTATGCGTATATACATATATATATATGTATGTTGATATCTACCTGCATATGTAATTAATGGAATATTTGCGCTAATTATACCATAATTAGGAAAGAATTTACGGTAAAAAAAATATTTGGTTAATCAGCGAAATTCTAAAAACTATACACGCTTATACCTATGTATATACTAGGAATGTTAATCCCGGGGTCCCAAAAAAAAATTTGCCAAGAATCCCGGGATTTTCGGGATTTTAAATTTGCACTGATGGCAATAATAGAAACTCCTTTTCTTGACCAGTTTGGGCTATATTTCTTTTTTTATTTAATAATTAAAATTTTTTTTATTTAGCTGAGTATACATATAGCACCGCGCGATAGTAAATTTTAAACATAAATATCACAATATTTTCGAAACCATGGGCCACATATAGTAAAATTGCGTTTTTAGTTTTTCACTCGGACGTCAGTGATTCAAAAATGATTTAAAAAAAATGAGAGAAATATGCTTAGGGAAGAAGTATGGGTATCAAATTAAAGAGAAAATGCTTCTAACTTTATCAGCTTAAAAAATTACCTATTCGTGCTTGTGAATCTAAAAACTTTTATTTTTTTTTTAATTCTCAAGAAATTCCCTCTTGCATTTGGTACCCATATTTTTATTCTACATTGCATCGAATTTTTTTAAATAATTTCTGGAATTAATCATAACTTTGAAATTACAAAGTCCTTTAATATAAATCCTGAAATCATAGAGAAAAAATAAAAACGCCACTTTAAATAAAAAAGTAGGTTTCAAACCCTTTAATTTATTATTTATTTTATGGTAGAAGAGCTTCTCAAACAATATAGAAGCAATTTTTTCGATTTAAGCTGTTGAAAAGCAATGAATATCTAAATCCCCGGACTAATCCCGGGATCGCGGGATTGTGATAACGACATCCCGAAAATCCCGGGATCGGAAAAAGGTTAAAAATTAACATCCCTAGCACATACATATGTATGTTTGTACATATTTAGGTATGTATACAAATATATAGCTAAGTATGTGTAGGTTTCTCAGCTTAGTTATGTAGATAAATATGTATTAACATATCAAAAACAAAGCGGCATAAAATTTTGAAATCAAAATGTGAAAATGATTATACAAAGAGTCGATTAGAAGTGCTGATTAATGCTTGACACTCGTTGCACACGATCAATACAATAATTTTCCACAAATGTGCCATGAAGTTTTCAACATACATAAAGAGAAATCATTTCCAATTGATAAGTGCACTAATTACCATCCACATGAGGTCAAGAGCCAACAGTAAAATAGTTTACTACTCAAACTCCTACATATTCCTGTACTATAGTAGTAAAACATAGGAATGCATAAATTAATGTCTGCTTAAAACTCGCCATTGTAACTCATCAATTCTTTGCATACCGATATCGTTTGCAAATTAATAACAAAGTATGTCGCTAGCTTAGAGTGAAAAGTTGCTAAGTCCACTTTTTATGAAAACTCATATTTTGATATAGGAGGCTAGAGAAATTGAAAACGCATCGTTTCGAAAATTATAAAGGTACTTGTTTTATTTTTTCCTCTTCATAAGCAATAAAAGAAAAATTTGCTAAGCCCAAAAGAAGCACCACAAATCCGATAAGGCGATAATAATACGACATCTTTTAATAAATATCGAATCCTTCTGATTCTTATGGAGTTTTGCTTTGCTTTAAACGCGCAAAATGTTTGATTCAAAGTCTTGCGAAATAATTAAAGAAAATGGCTATTGGAAGATTTTTTCCTCTCCTGTAAAATTTTTAAAATGGGACTTAGCAACTTTTCTTTCTAAGCTAGCGATGTATGCTCGTATGATTTTGTTTATTGTATTATGTAACTGTATATGTACATTGTACATGCATACATATATTTGAGTTTATCCATTGTTAAATACATACACACATATGTACATACATACATAAGTACAAAGTCATCAATAATAAATATGGTCTTGTTTTTGGTTTTTTGTTGCAGTATCGAGCGCAAATTTTGGACGATTGGAATGAGTTATGTGTTCGCAAAAAAATTCCCTGTTCCGAGAAATTTTCATTGGCCAACACATTGGGAAATCCAATGCAAATACGCGCTTGGTCATTAGCAGGTTTACCGGCAGATAATTTTTCTGTTGAAAATGGCATTATTGTAGCTAACTCAAATCGATATCCGCTAATGATAGATCCACAAGGTGAGTTGATTAAGCACTGTACATATGTAAATTGTTGCAGTAGTTTTTGTAGTTGTTTGGTTAAATTTAAGGAAGCACTGAACTGTCGTAAATCCTTGCAAAATTGTGGCATTAATTATTGGTTATTTTTATTTGTTTTATGTACTACTTCTTTCACAAAAAATGTTTGTCATTTCTTCATGTTCTCAAGTGCAAGCCAATAAGTGGATTAAGAATATGGAAAAGGATAACTTTTTGCGTGTAATCAAGCAAAGTGATCCCAACTATATGCAAATACTCGAACTTTCAGTCACTTATGGTAATCCTGTACTTATTGAAAATGTTGGTAAGTTCAATATTAAAGTGCATTTCTTCACTTTTTCAGATGTGTATCTGTGTTATTAAATTTTTTTTCCTGCGGGAAGGGGTTTTGAAGCTTTCTATAGATATATGAAATTCAGAGAGCAAAAGCTCTCTCTGATACTCACTGTTTTGAATATGTCACAACCAAAATTTTTCCCACTGAAGAGGCTTTCTGTAGGGGCTGGCATATCTACTAATGTACAAATGTATATCATAAGCTTTTTTAAAGCTTTAGCTTAGTCCGGCGCATTTTAATGCTTTCTAAATATTTCATGCAAAAAGGCATAGAATAAAAGCTTTCTCGATTGTTGCTATTTTTAGTTAATATGGATCAAAACATCTACATCAGAAGCCTTTCAAAGCTTTCAACAGAATTTAGATGCAAGCGCGGAGAGTAACAGCACTCTCTGGTCGTCTCTGTTTTGGAACAGCCATGACCAGTGATGGGCAGAGAGAGTTTTTACTCTACACGCTTTTAAGCAAAATATAAAGAAAGCTTAAAAGACTTTTGTCCGCGGGGCAAGACGGTATGGAGTTTTTTAATACCTTTATTTAAGGCGAGCCTTAAAGCGACAAATAGTGTATATTATACACATAGCACAGAGAGAGAAAATTTTACAGTTACGTCAAATAAATGTATTTCCCTCAAAACAAGATTTGATAACTATAAATAGTAGGGTCCTTTTTTCGGCGGCTATTTTTTATTTATATATATATATTTTTTTTGTTGACTTCCACATAGAAATTTTGTGGGAAATACCTAAATAGTGATTGTTTCAAAATTCTATAGCTCAGTGGCATTTTATGGTATAATCTTGGTCAATGATAGGGTTTCTTCAGAATTGAATGCTCTACAAAAGTGACCATCGTTGCGGAATCCTAACTCTCACCCGCGAGGTAGTGCGGGTCACCAAACCCAATTTTTTTATGAAATTCTCGTTTGTTTCGCCCCTATCTCGTAGATAAAAGGATCTATAGAAAAATTATAAATGACAAACTTGCAGGAAATTGAATTTTTCGGAATATCAAATCGCTAACATCGATACTTCTGGAGATATTGGGCTTTAAGGTATATATTTAGTTGTCGTGTATTTGCTCAGTGTATTAACCTAGTTACAGTAGACCCCACCGTTGTATGCTGAACCGAAGGTCTCTCTGAAATTCGCCATTACTCTGAGCATTTCAATTCGAACGGCCTCGCAACGATAATTGCATTATCCGAGGTCACACGTAGAGGTTTTGCGTTAGGCAATAAAGTTGGAACTTTTCTGGTCGTCTTCTGCACTGGGGTCTCCTGGGTCTACTATTTCATAGATTATGATGTTCTACTGCCACTAGAGTGCCACTAAATAATAAGTCTTCTTCAGCTGTTTATATAACCAAATTTAACACATTTTAACCAAACATATTAACCATGTCAATTTGTCACTTAGTCATATCGTGCATACAAAATGATGTTTCAGTGATCGTCACTTCATTGTATTGAAAAGCACGCATATCCTCATATACTTACATACATATGTATGTATGTATGTAGGTACACTAAGAATGATAGATTGACAACATTGTTGTTAACATTTTATAACCAAAAAAACAGAACTCTCATACTTTAGCATATGTAGTATTCGAAAGTTAAAATTATTTCGTATACAACTCAGATGTTTCATCCGTTGACTGATTAAATTTTCGGTCGTTTTTCCATCAAATTCTACCACAAAACGTTTCTCTAGAAAAGCTATGATAATGTTTATGAAACGGATAAGTTTAATTTTTTTTTAACAGTTAAACTTGCCCAAATATTTTTTAAAGCCGCAATAAAAGTCCTTTCCTAATAATTAACAAACCGCTTATCCAAAATTAAAGAATTTAGGTATCGAATTAAAGAGCACTAAAATAGCTTTCAAACTGAAGTGTCTCAACGAGGAAAGCCACCTATTGAAAAATATTTGATTAAAAAATGTTATTTAATTACCATAGAACTAACCTTGGGTCAGGTATGTGAATTTCTTTTGTATAAAATTATAACAAAAAATATGAATAGAGGTGGTAACCTTTGTTCGTTAATTCAGTCTAAAAGGTATTTCAGTCCTATTTCATTTTATGCCAAATTTGTTAAAATTGGATAATGTTTCTTAACCGGAATTTACTTTTATCTCGAACTTAAAAAATATTTGGCCAAGTTTAACTATTAAAAAAAAAATAACTGTTATTTTCGGTCCCTGGTACATTTCAATTGTATTATGTTTTCAATTAATAGAAACGTACATTTCTCTGCTGGCTGGGAATACTTACAGAGGTACCTGAATTATGAGTATGCCCATCTACGAGTAGGTCCATAAAAATTTCTAAATTTTATTTCCCTTCTTCAATTATTTCATCTCAACCGAATTGGCTAAGATTAATGACGCAATGAAGTCAGCTAGTAATAATAAAGGAATGACGTCGGCATAAATCCAATTTAAGCGTGACAGCCATAAAGTAAACCAAACATATATATGTATGTATGTACCTATGTATGTACATCTGCCCCTCTGCAACATATTTGAAGACACTTTATAAGTTTAAGTGCTTTTCAATTGAATGGGTTGCTGGAATTTTGAGCATAGAGACAGTTATTTACTCATGCATCCGTAAGAAGATAGACATAGGAGCTTACGTAGGTTTGTTAAACAAATATGTATGAACTTAAATGTTATAAAAATAATGTTAACAAATGTATCAACTCAAGTTCATGGTGATTTGCAATTATGTATATTATATTACGTATGTATGAACATAAGTAAGTATCTACGTCATACGGCAATCAAGTAAAGGGCCCACATGCCACGATTTCATCAATGCTTACACATAACCAGTTCTGTAAAGTGACACGTGTTCACGAATGGCAGGTGACTTGAGTTGCATGTGTATATGACATATGTATGTATTAGGGTGATTCAGAAAAAAATATATATATTTTTTTCCTCTGAACCATGCTCAAAAGTCTCTTTTAGATGCCAAAATAAGTCTCAGAAAATATGAGCTCTTAATATTAATATTAAGAATGTTCGCATCGCACTTTTCGATTTCCCCATAAGAATAAAACAGGAACATTTTTTTATTTTTTTTATTTCTGATTTTTATATTTAACGAACGATGCATTGCACTGTAAAGGTCCTAAAGCAGTTTTGTAGATAAGTGAACGCTTTACAAAAAAGATTTGCAGGCATTTTTCGATAAGTCAACTAGGTCAAAAGTTATTCAAGGCTGAAAAAAATAATAGAAACCAAAAATTTTTACAAGTTTTGGACATTTTTCATTTGTCCATTTGATGGTACATAAATTTTTTATAAAAGTCTAACTCATTACAAAAAACCGGTGACCGCTATTAGACAAAACTGTATTTTTTTATTTTTAGATGTTGATCGGAAACTACGCTCGAATCCAGGCTTTGCGAAATGGTACCACTATAAAAAATTATTATAAATTATATAAATAAACAAGCGAAGAGGATCCAAAATTTGCCATCTTTTTTTGATTATATTACTACTACACATATTTACATACATACATACATACATGTTACATATAGCAATTCGTACTTCGATATAAGACAGAAAGTTAATTTAAAACATATTTAATATGCGTAATTTGAAACTAATTACAAACAATTTTTTTTTGTGGTTTCAAATTAACAGAATTTGAATATGAACATTTATTTGATTGTACATTTTAAATGCTATTTTACACTTTAAATGCTGTTAGAAATAGAAAAAAAATCAGTATGCGAAAAGGGATTTTTTCTGAAATTTTATCATATGTACAAAAAAAAAAAAAAAATAAAAGTAAACGATTGAACACACATACACACACACATGCATATGACGCATGCAAATAGCCCAAATTACACAGATTTGTAGATGAATAAGCCAGTGATATTTTTTTCTGGGAATCCACATTTCAATTATATTTTCAATTATTGTTTACAAAGTCATATTTTAAATTACGATGATGCACTTTTTGTGTACTTTAGTACATACATAAATATTGTGCCAACAAAAACAAATATCCTTTGACCTTTGACTTTTTTCTTTGATTACATATACATACATATATATGTAAATGTATGTCACACGAGTATATTTGTAAGCATGTGTGTACAGTTTTTAGAACCTTTCGAGATTTTTTCTGGAATTTTCAGAATATTTTCGGGTTTATGTATCTGGAGATATTTAAACATATTTTCGCAGCTCTACAACATTTTTTCGCATCATTTTTTTTTTCTCGGAGCCTTTCAGCTTTTTTCGGCTTTTCGCGATATTCGCACAGATGGTCATTTGATTTGGTTTTCTACTTTTTTGGTACAGCAGTCTTCAAGAAAATTGCCTTTAAAAAAGTAACATATACACGTTTATATCTTTTTTAAGTTAAGGAAACTAGCTTTGGCCAAATTGTCGCTAACAACGTTATTTGAGGCGACCGTTCATACATATGTATTTTTCGACACCTCTTGCGTTTTTTCGCACTTTTTGGCAATTCCTTTGGGAGAATTTGGGGCACTTTGTGTTTATTTTTCGCGATATTTCTATATTTTTTTTTGTGAATTATTTTTCAAGAATTTTTCTGAGCCTATCAAAATTTTTTCTCCATTTCTCGCGTGTTATTTTTCAGTATTTTTCGGAATTTTTTGTGATTTTCAGAATTTTTGTTCATGCTTTTTAAGATTTTCGCGGGGTTTCCAAGGCCTTTTTTATTATTTAATATTATTTTCTGGGGCCGTTCGGAACTTTTTTTATGAAGTTTCGGGATTTTTGTGACCTTTCGGGTGTTTTTTCTTTCATCTTTCAGCATTCAACACATAGTTCCAAAGAAATTTTACCTGCTTTTGCTAAAAAAAGAAACTACTTTTGGCGCTTTGATTGCTCAAACTTTCATAGCTACATATTTACATAGTACATATATGTGCATTAGGGTGGTTTGAAAACAGTAAAGTCGGAATTGTATGCTCTCATTTTTTTATTTTGAAATCAAAAACTCAAAGCGCTCAAAGTTTTCCATGTATTTTTATATGAGAAAAATAAAATTTTTCGTAGAAATGGTATAGAATTCTTGAAAATCCATATTTATCGTTCGGAAAACTCTGGTTCTCTTTGGCAGGCTTTCAATTATTTATTTAACCCTTTTTTAATACTCACGATTTTTTATTGGTCGCCCCATTGCATTTTCGGGGTTTTTGTGGGGTTTTGACAGGCCTTTAAATTATAGTTGCGATGAAAAAATGGTTAAATAAACAATTGGGAATTATTATTTGGAATCTCCTGCAAATAAACGGAGTTTTATGGTAGGAAAATATCGATTTTTAACTATTCTATACCATTTCTACGAAGAGTTGTTTTTTCCCCATATAAAATTCATGGAAAATTTTGGGCGCTTTGAGCGACCTCTAAATATTTTTTGATACCAAAATAAAAATAAGGGTATAAATATTTTTCAGTATGGAGCACTCCTGAGTTGTGAGAGCATGAAAATTACGACTTTACTTTTTCCCATGCATTTTTGGACCATCCTAATGTGCATGCATATGTATGAATATACTTATGTATGTACGCAGGAAAAGCATATCAGATTGTATTTTATTTTCTTTCTAGAAAAGGGTTTTTTAATTACAAGCTTCTATCCTTTATTGACTTGATTTGTATTTCATAATAAGCATTTCTTTTTTTTTTTCTTCATGAACCGCAAAACCCAATAGGCGAGCGTTTAGATTCAAATTTGACACCAATTCTAGAGAAGAACGTAATTAAGCACAAAGGTGGTTTTTTCATCAAAAGTGGTGACACAATGCTGGAGTACAATCCGAACTTTCGTCTATATATTACAACATGCTTACGCAATCCAAACTACTCACCGGAAATAATGGTTATGGTAAGTGAGTGGTAAGAAATATGTAGAGTACATAGTATGTACATTAGGGCGAGTCAATTTTTTTCGTCTTAGCGAGAACACTACCGCAAAGTGCTAAGAAGCCTTTTTTGGCAATTTGGCAAACTCCAAATCGATATTAGACTCTTGGTTTCTTCGTCAAATTTTCTTAGAATTACACGTAAAATCCTCCGTAGGCAAAAAATTTGGCCCGCCCTAATGTACATACATATGTATGTGTTTATGTACGTAGTTAGTAAATAGTCATATGAATATGAGTAAGTAGAATATATAGAAAGTGATTACGATTTTTTTTTTACACTAATGCTGATGCTGATGCAAAGCCAGGACAATTGACATATTGTGGCTTATTATCATACCCGCCGGCTGTAAACGCTTCATTTTTCTGTGCTCATATTTTCACTGAAATCTTTTGTTTGCATTTGATTCCACTATGCAGCTATTCCTTGCATGTATTTTATTAAAAACAAAAATATAAAAAATTCAAGCCCTTACAATTTTTTTACGGTTTTATGTGGTTACTGTTCTTTCAGTGTATTTTATTTGACAATCTTCTCCATGTTATAATTATTTTTCTTTGACACATTTGCTTTTCTTTGTTCACAGGTAGCCGTTTTGAATTTCATGATAACGGAACAAGGTCTACGCGAACAGCTTCTAGCGAATACAGTGGCACGTGAACGTCCTGATTTGCAAGAGAAAAAGGAACAACTCATTGTTGAGTCAGCAAAAAATCGTGATGCATTGTACACTATTGAAACACAGATTCTTGAGGTAAGCCAAATTTATGTAAAATGCTATTATAATGAGTTAGCTATGTATGTATGTACATTAGGGTGGCACAAACAAAATAAATTTTGAGTTCTAATGCTCGCACCCCCTAGGATTGTTCTATATCGAAAAGATATATACACCAGTTTATTTTTAACCCCAAAAATGTTTAGAGGTTGCTCAAAGCCCGTTGCATTTTTATACCCGAGCGCACTTGTGCACAAGGTATTATAGCCTTGTTCGCACAACGGTTGTTTGTAACAGCCTAAAGGAGTCGAGATAGATATAGACAAATGCATACATAAATGATCACAATGAAAAGGGAAGTCGATTAAGAAATGTCTGTCTGTCTGTCTGTCCGTCCGTCCATCTGTTCGTGTACACGATAACTCGAGCAAAAATTTAGATACCTTTGTCCAAGGTAGGTTGCTGTAGAAAATGGGCAAAATAGGACTGTAACCACGCCCCCTTCTCAAATAACGGTATTTTCGAAAAATACAAAAACTATGATATTTCAGTAAATATTGGATCCAAATTATTGAAAATTAGTATGTTAAGTAGAATTTTGGTGCAAAATAATATTCTTATGAAATTTTTGGAAAAGGGGCTTGACTCCGCCCACTCATGATGAAATACTGTATCTTAGTAGCCGCTTCACCAAACCTTACCAAACTCGGTAAGAGCCTTGCTTAGCATCCAGCTACGCCCACCGCCCATATAACGGTAATTTACAGAAACACGGAAACTACGTTGAATCAGTAACAACTGAAGCTAATTGACTCAAAATCGATTATTGCAATGGCCACTGAGCAGAAAATTAGATTATAATAAAGAAAGATGGAACGACGATAGTTGATACCTGCGCCGGGTATATAAAATTCGGTATCGCCCGAACTTATACTTCTTTACTTATCTTTATGAAAGTACTTGAATTTATTTTACCTTTCCTTTAACCTTTGTCCAATATTGACGGTTGGAAACCCTGCGTTAAACCAGATTCTGGGTACAAAAATCTATATACATACATATGTATATACATATACATATCAGAGATTGAACAAACTAATGCTGGATTTCCACTAGGCATTAAATGGCAAAAATGACAAATGACAAAGTCGGTCATTAAAAAATAATCGTGTCATTACATTAAAAAAATAATCATTAAGATCATTTCCACATGGCATTTTTTTAAATGGCAGACATTTTTTGTCATTTCAATGCCTAGTGGAAATTCGGCATAACTTTATTTTATCTGAAAAATAACAACAGTGCTGCAGGTACAGCCAACCCGTGTGGTGAATTCTTCTCTTGAAAATATTCTATGTACTTATGAGAGTAATAATTATACTGACCATAACCTTGTTATATTGCCTAACTTCTAAACCAAATTAAATCAATTTTCAAATTAAATTAGGAACCATAAGAATACAAATAAACAAACAAACTCGTATTGCGTAAATGAAGGAACCTAAATATACTACGCTCTAATTTATGGTAGCAAATAGTATGCCCAGTACTTCATCTTGCAAGACATAACAAATACATACTTTGGAAAGATACCGACATATGTACCTACATATATGTACATGTAACAACATTCGGTTTGACGATTTCAGTACTAAGTTTACCAAATCCATCCATCAACAAAATATACAACCTAACAAACATATATATAGACATTTGTATTTACCTAGAGTCCACAAATGTAGGTACTCTAATATGTCATTCAAACTACTTAGCCACAAGCTGTGCCATTTTCTTATACATATGTACATAGAAACCATGTGTACATTAGGGTGCATCAATCTCCATACAAAAAAATCAGTACTAGTATTTTTCTTTCGGAATTTTATCATTTTATTATATCTTAAGAAAGTCGCGAAAATAATTCGCTATAACAATAAGATTTAGGTACTCTGAACCGATTTGAAAATACCCACAAAAATCTTTTTTTTATAAAAAAAAATCGTTTTCTTTTATAAAAATACAATGTTTCTAAAATCATTTAATTAAAATTTAAAAAAAAAATGTTTTCAAAATCGATATTTTTGATATGAACAAATTTTAACTTCAAAATAGTTTTTCTAAACACTCACCTGAGATGAGAGAAGAATATTATCTTAAAAAAAAATTGTTTAAAAATTTTATCAACGCCATCAAAATAATTGAATTTTTGGCGGTATTTTCAAATAGGTAGCTGACGTAAATCTTAATATTTTTTCCCGAATATTTTGCCTAGTCTTCAAATATATTCGATCTTATAATTCTGATGGAAAACCCACAACTTTTTTTTGGTGGGGCACACTAATGTCTGCATATATAACTGTATGACATATGTACATACCTACCAGTCTCTTACAAATATTATGTACGTTTGTATTTAACTTCAACTCCAGTAGACACTATTCGTACCTATATATATATCACTTCCCTTCTACACCCTTCCCTTTCACAGGTGCTCTCCTCCTCCGAAGGTAATGTATTAGAAGACGAGAATGCTATCAACATACTGTCATCGAGTAAAATACTATCGGAGGAAATTCAAGAGAAGCAAGTAATCGCTGTTGCAACTGAAACGGAAATTGACGCCGCACGCCAACAATACGTACCGGTGGCCAAACATTCCGCCATACTATTCTTCTGCATCAGCGAATTGGCAAACATCGATCCAATGTATCAATATTCGTTGGCCTGGTTTCTCAATCTATTCGTAAATGCTATATTGAAGGCGCCTAAATCGACAGTGCTCGACGAGCGTTTAGAGCATTTGAATTATTACTTTACGAAATCAATTTATCAAAATGTTTGTCGATCGCT